TCATGCAGAATAAGGCATTAATATGTGCTTTATAAGTACTAATAAATAAATATATTAAGTTATAATAATATTAATTATTAGTGGTAGTAGTAGTAGCAGCGTCAATATTATTTAGCTTTTTTTTTTGGTTTAAAAACATTTTTAAATATTTTATAAAACTGCAAGAAAATTATTTTTAACATGCAGATTCCTAGATTTAAATACCCTAAATCCCCTCAACTAGCCCAAAACTGTCTAATGATGGCCCTTGACCATCAGGCCTTCTTTATTGTTGAGCAATCAATTCTTTTCCTCCTCATAAAACCTATTAACTCTCCTCCTGATTCAGTCCTCTGACACACATGTAAATGGAAGGCAGTCTGGCAGTGGTGCCTAATGGTGCTTTTCCACTGCGTGGTACGACTCGGCTCAGTACGGTACGGCACGGCTCGGCTCGGTTTGTGTTTCCACTGCAGTTTAGTATCGCTTTAGAGTGGGCGGGATTATTCACATGTCGTTTTAGCTACGGTTCACTTGAAACCTCAACCGAGGTGGTACTAAAAAAAGTACCAGGTACTGTACCCAGTGGAAAACCCCCCAAAAGTGAACCGTACCATGCCGTACCATGCAGTGGAAAAGCACCATAAGTGTCCTTACTTATTTGAGGAATTCATTTCAAGATGATTACTGATGACAAAATACCTCTCTGCCAGCCTACAGAAAGTAGATGGCGGCAGTCAGTGTTTGCTTATACACAAATATGTCAATAAGCTGCTTCTGTAAAGAGACTGACCTCACATGAGGGGTGAAACTGTCCGGATGTGATCATGTCTCTGACATTTTCTGTTTTGGGAGGAAAAGCACATTCTTAGGTTAGCACAAGAAAAAAATTGAATCTCCTTTGTTAAAATGGAGGACCCCATTATCTCTGCAAGACTGACATATTACTCATTTTGTGAATGGCGCTGTTCTGAGGAGAGTTTTGAAACATGACCACACCTGCTCTGTGTAATCGGTGTATAATAGCATCACTCATCAGGTTTTAGGGATTCAGCATGTAATCTATGGGCTCGTTTACACTAGTAAAGTTTAAGGTTCAATTTCAGAAGTCCTTCCTCCAGTAGATGTCCCTGCTGCTCTGTTCACCAGTGCATTGATGAGATGTACACTTTAATTTTTCAGTAAACACAGACTAATGTTTGGCCCATCTATAGTACAATCGCCTTCTCTTTTCACTGAAATCTCTGCCCTGCTGTCAGTAATGTTGGATGTTTTATATAAAAGACCTCCACAGAGAGATATTACTGTGCAGCTTTGCCCAAAAATACATACAGAATATATAAATAAATAAATTCAGTGTTATTTATTCACTTGTTTGTTTGTTTACATTTATTTATTTTATTAACTTTTTTTATGCCATCTGTAGCCATAAGACCTGTCTAAAAACACCTTCTATGCCTCAAAGAACCATTCTTACGGGTCTGAGGTTTTATTTATTTACTTATATATTTATTTGTTCTTTTTCTGTATGCACAATCATTTTCCCTCATTAAACTGGAATGGGTTTGAGTTTTCAGAATGTAATGAGCTCTGTATAAAAATGCAACTTTCACACAAGCAGACTTCTGTGATTAGGTGCCTTGCGTGCTTATTTAAAGTCATGTTGCCTGAAGAGGACAATTTTCTGAATCAAACAGAGTTTCTGTTTAATTGCATGAGATGGCTGGGAAGAAGAGAGGGGGCAGTTGGTAAGAGACTTACTGCTCTCTGCTGATTTAGAGCGTCAAGGTAATCTTACAGCAACAAAGATCTGCTGAGGCATAGTTTTTCTTTCTGTGGCCCTCCTCTTCTTTTAAAATCTGACCAAACATTCAATGCATATAAAAAATACACAGTATTTTTCCTGAACATAATAGTTTTTTTCTCACCTTTCCCTCCTGAGTGCAGAGTTCGTTGCGGACCTTACAGCTTCTGCAAGGTTTAGGGTAAAAAAAAAAAGGTTTGCAGTACATTTTGTATGTAAAATAATTTTGGGGGGGGCGGGGGGGATGTCAGAACAAATTTTAATAATACGCTTAAGAGTTTATTATACTTCTCCAGTTTATCACATGTGCTTTAGTTATCAAAATATAAAATAGTATTATTATTATTATTAAAAATGGTGTGATTCTTTTTCCAGTGCAATATGGCAGAACAAAGGGACCATATGGCAGATCTCCTGCATGCATGGACATGATGCTCAATCTGATTGTTCATGCTTTTTTTTTTAACAAGAGAAGAGATCTCAGTACAAATTGAACACAGATGTGCATTTAGATCCACCACAGAGTTGTCTCTCCCCGCTGACGTACAGATGATCAGGACAACGTGATCTTTTTGTTTACATAATTATATCCTAGAAACTCAATTGGCCTCAATGTCATGAGAACAACAGTCATAATTTGAGGTGTTTGCATCAGAACTTCAAAATGTTCAAAATTATTATATCAGTTATTAGTTATATAATATTATTATTTACTGTATTATATCAGCATCACAACAAAGAAAACTCCATTGTAACTCCTGTTGTCCAGTCAGTTAACCAGCCAGGTTAATCATATGGTTATACTGATGTGTGACTTAGGAAAATTTGTGTCACTTAGAAAAACTTAACAAAAGTCATGGGTGGGGAATTTGGTGGTCTGTTCAATTCTAGAGATTCATTGGCATATATCATGTATGTAATGGGTGTATGTGAAAACTTATGGTGACTTGCTGTTATGTGTGGCCAGTTTTAGAAAATAGCTCCAAAAAGTTTTGATGAAGCATTTGTACCATTTATGATGTAGTCACTGGGTACGGCACTACACCCTACATTCAACCAGAAAAAAAGTGTGCCTCCAAAATGCAGCACCCCACACAGCAGCTTCTTAACTAGGTGGGAAAGGAAAAACATCAGAACTTTTTAAAAGGCCTCTGTATGACCAGCTCAACACTGGACCCCTTTCATTTACCAACATTTCATAGGCTTTTCCATGCCAGCCGTAGCCCCAAGACCTGTCTAAAAACGCCTTCTATAATGCCTCAGAAAGCCACTCTTACAGGTCTGAGATCCCATTTCCTCCTGCTCTCTTTATCTCGATGCTGTTGCAGAAAAAACTTTGCTTTCTTTTGCTCATTGTCAATGGTGGTGAGGGTTTAGAAATGGGATATAGCAGCTTTGTTTGTTTTCTACAGTGCCTGGACTTGATCAAATCAGTAGCTGTCATAGATGACTAGGTGGAGGATGACGCAACTTATATCCTTGCCTGATATCCTATTCCCCCCTTTGTGCCAGGATCAGTGTTTTGTTGTTTTATTATGTGGAGTTTAGGTGATAAATAATGTTTTATCATGTGTTTTCAGGTGAATGAGATCTACCATGATGAATCATTAGGAGTGCACATTAATGTCGTGCTTGTGAGGATGATCATGCTTGGATATGCTAAGGTAAATTACTATTAAACATCTCTATCAAAACAAATTTTAATAGGTCATATCATATATATTTTAATGACTTTATATAAATTATAATGCTTTATGCCAAAAACAGTTATTTTTTCATGACCATTTCCCACCCTCTTTGACCCTGTTAACCCATTAATTGTCGCACTCTCTCATACTCTGCAACTTTTACAATGTTTTTTTTTTGTTAATTAAAATGAGATAACTTTAGTGTAGTCACATATATAGATTTATAGAAACTCCTGTATGAACCTATGCGTAGATTGTGGTAATAACCAATATTTCACCCACCATCAACAATGTTGCACTGTTATTTTATTCATTATCCAACAGTCATTGAGATGATAAATGAGGTATACTTTGAAAGGCGGCACGTTTGACTGCAAGCATACGCTAGCGTACGTGTACAAAAAAGGAAGCATACTTTGGGCTTTAGTTAACAATAATAACCCTGAAATGTTGCCAGGTGCATTTCTAGGTAAACATCCAGAAATGGATTAAGTGCCGACACTTGACAGTTATATAGGTTGTCTACTAGCACGCCAGTTGATTTTAAAACATCTGTAGTCACCCAAAAAAAAAAAAAGAATTACTGCTGGAAAAAAAAGTTTAGTTGCCCAGAGTCTTAAATAAGTTACATGGGACAATTTCTTTCCACTAGAGCTAATGTGACATAAAGCCCTCCCCAATTTCAGCACAGGTCAGTTGCCACCACAGTTGAAAAATGTGAAATAATTAGCTATGAGGAAGCGCACAACAACTGTCTGCAGTTTAGCCACTTATATTAGTCCAATTATGAGTGTATCAAACCTCTCTCCATTCGCATTTGTATGTAAAAATACATAAATATTTTCTAAGATCATAATGCAGTCAACAAATACAGAGGTAATTTCATGTCTGTGTTGCAATACACAAATAATTGCAACATAGTTTGTTCTCTGCATTAGACATACATAATGTGATTAATAGCTGAAATGTAGGGAAAAAGCAACAACCCGCAAAATTGCATTTTAGTTTATTGTACTGTAATTTACAAACAAAAAGTTTTGAGTTTCAGCTTTAAGGATCTCAACTGCTCTTTTGACTGTTAGTAAACAGGAGTTTATCTAAAAACATTACATAAACAGACCCCCAGTGATCGATGTGAGTCACTTTAAGGTGTTTTATAGATTAATGAATGCTTAAAGTGTCCCCTAATGAGTCTCTAATCTTTTTCTCAGTCCATCGGTCTCATTGAGGGTGGCAACCCTTCGCGAAGTCTAGAAAACGTGTGCCGCTGGGCAGTCATCCAACAGAAAGAGGATCCAGAGCACTCCGAGCATCACGATCATGCCATCTTCTTGACCCGGCAAGGCTTCGGCCCCACCGGCATGCAAGGTTTGACCTTTGGTTTTTGACATGCTTTTGATTTTCAAACTTGTCACGTCCTATATCATTTTCCTCACACAAAATCGAACATCTTAGATATGTTCATTCCGTGAAAAAGGAATATCTTTCTCTCACTCTCTCTCTCTCGCTAATACTCCCTCACAATTCCCACGGGATTCTGTCAGCACCTCATCAATGCTCTATGAAATACCAGCCTGACAGAATGCTGGTTGGTGTACAAGCTCTACTTTAGACAGATTGTGGATGTGTAAAGAGGTTCACAGCATTGGAAAAGGATAGCAGAGAGACATGAAAGCGCACTTACATAAGCACATAGGAAAAGGGGATTTTGTTGTCTAAGGCTCGAGGCAGCTGCTGAAGCAGCAGTCCTCTCAGAGCATATCTCCTTCAGCACTGACAAAGTTCACAGTGCACATTTAACATCTATTCAACCTGACAGGAAAACTCGCTCTTTTCCTGAGAAGTGTTTATGCTGTCACTGCTACTCTGACATTTCCCTTATCATGCCACTATCTGTACTCATGGCCCTCGTTAATCTTCCGAGAAGAGCTCTTTGGCCTCTCCAATTACATGCAACATATTCAGTGGCTGGCAGTGGCCATGATGAGCTATTCAGTGCCAGTGTGCTTTATTGGCTTATTGACACCAGATATGAATGTAGCTAAAGAGCTGAGATCTTCAGTTGAGCATCTGTCACAGTTTTGTAGGCTTGCATCAAAGGATTGTTTCATTCTTAGTGGTGCATGGTGCTTACAAACATAGCCAAAGTCCCTGCTGTCTGATATCAGTCATAATATACTGTTTCACACTGAACACTGCACTGAAAAATGATTTTTTTTTTTTTGCATCCAAGCAATGCTGCCGACTTTGAATTATAATGCACTTTTCAGTGCCACTTGAGCATTCAAACACTATAACTTTCTCATTTTTTTTAAGTTTAGTTTTTTAGTTTATCCGAAAATAAACTTTCCAAACCGGTTAACATTGTGGGTTTTTTTTCTCAATGCTCTTTAGAATATGTTTCACAGAATAAAGTCGTACAAGTTTGGAACAACATAAGGGTGAGTAAATGATGACAAAGTTTTCATTTGTAAGTGAACTATTCCTTTAACAGTGAAAAAATGTGTGTACCATTTGCATTACTAAGTGGATTGGTTGAACAGGTAACAAACTCGGGCCTTTAATTCAGCCAGTATTTCTGTGTTTGACTGATCGGCATGCTTAAACAAATAAAGCAAAATTCATAGAGCATCAGTGTTTACTTTTTGAGGAACATATAAATCCTACTATGGTGAATGTTATTGCGTTAAATGTTAATATTTACGTGACACTACGCCCCCTCCACCCAGACACATGAAAACCAGCGCAATTATCCAAATCACTTTGCACAACAAATGGCATTAACAAGAAAAAAAATTCCTTTTAAAAACTGAGAAATGTTCTTTTCACATAACTCATTTGCATTTTATATGAATTTGATATATTTACAGTATATGTTTGATTGACACTCGTTTGTGATTGATTGTTCTTGACTGCATGCCAGATTGTCAGTATGTTAGATCAATTGCACACGTCACTGTATTACACTAGAACAAAGTGTCTGTCTTTGTCCAACACAATGAAATGTGGTGTAATGACAGATGGTAGGTGACATTGTTTTGGCACACACAGACACCTTTGCATGAAAGACTCCATCTGGTTCCCTCCCACTCTAATAATCATGTTTCAAACACATTGCTAAGGCCTCTAAATTATCAACATGATCAAAACATTGCTGAAAAAACTGTTAACAATCTACTACATTGGTTCTCAACTTTTTTGGGCCAGCGCCCCCCTACCCATTATCCAGGTCCCTTACCGCCCCCATCAGATAAAATGTAGTCTAATCGTCTTCTATGAATATTAAAGTTGATTATTATTTTGTTTTTATAATGAGGACTATTATTATATTTACAGTACCATTGAAATGTTTGGAGGTACTATTTTAAGAAATTAAATACTTTAATTCAAAGCTTAAATTGATCAAAAAAGACAGTAAAGTGTTTTTTGTCAAAGAGAATTGTTTAAAAAAATGAAAAAAAAAAAAAATAATAAAAAAAAAAAAAAAAATATATATATATATATAAAAAATACAATAAAATACAGACTATACGGATGCTTCACATAATACTGTACATGTGCAAAGAGAAACATCGTAAGT